ACGATAGAGGAACGCCCAATTCGAATATGTACGTGAAGTACAATCACTGTTTGTCTATATACATAGTTTTCTACAACTTTATATAACATATATATGCATTTATACCTACATATATATATATTCATTGCAAAATGAACTGTTTTCATTTCTCACCAAAAATTGTTTTCGTTTCGAACACCAAAAATTTTTAAAGTTTTTGAAAGCCGTTGATCTGAATCGGGTGCAAATCCTCTTTGAAAATACTGTTACTACAACAGAATATAGAATACTGTTTGAAACCTTTGCATTCTTGTTCTCGTGCAGAAGGGACACAATGCAATCAGTTTCGTCGAACAAACTTTTGTTTGTGTGCATATACATATAGATATTGTATGCTATATATATGCGTGAGATGGAAGTTCATTTGCATACAGGCAAAAACGACGTTTGTTCTCTGGTACATGATTGTAATTTATTGTTCTATAGGAGAATTTTGTGAGAAATTTCTCTATATTAATCATATTGTTTTTGTTAACAATAGGAGAAAAAAAATATTTAACATTTTATTTATTCAGAAATCTTATTTCTTTCGTTGAGGAATTTCTTGAAAAATGCAAAAAAATTTGTCGAGTATTCGTTCTTTAGAAAGCGACACGTGACCTTCCCTACTTTTCTTTTCACTGAGGAATATTTTAGACATTTTGACCTAGAGGGTTGAAATTTGGTATACAATCTCAAACTACATTGAGTACGATTTTATGATAACAATTTTATTTTATTTTATATTTTTATTTTTTTTTATTATTATATTTTCTCTTCTTTAGAAAATTTTTACTTTCTTTTTGTAAAAAGATTTGTGTAATTTTTTTTTAATCACAACTTTTAACGAAATCGCTCTTTTCAACAATTCTTTAATTATTAATACGACCGAGTGATAGTATCAATCTTATAATTTTAACGAAATCGTAATTTTTTTTTTAGAAATGAATTAAATTTATTAATTATTATTTATTTATCTGTAGAATTTCTATTTCATTAAAAAAAAAGGAAAATTGAGGCTCCGGATCTTAAAAGGGCACTTTCCGCATAGACTGACTTTACATGGTGAAAGTGCCCTTTTAAGATCCGGAGCCTCAATTATGCAATTTTTCCTTTTTTATGAAAAAAAAAAATATATAATCTTGATTGATTTTATTTAAAATAGAAATAGAACCTAATTAAAAATTAAATAAAAATTGCAACGTACAATAAATAATTGACAGAAAAAATAACAAAACAGAAAAAAAAAGTTGGAAAAAAATAATCACTTCTCAAGAAGTTTCATTAAGAGCGGAAATTGAAAACGTCATAGCGGCAATTTACGCAATCAAAATGGAAATGTAAGACAGTGAAATTAAAAGGAATGAGAGTAGTGCTTTCAATAAAGCTCGCTAAGCAAATATATATATGTAGAGGAAACAATTGCATAACTTTCTATGTTGACTTGTATGGCTACAAACCACGTGATTAACTTACAACGAAGAGATTTATGTTTGGTGGTATTTTCTACTGACAGAATTCATCGACAAAATGAGTTAGCCAAACTAAAGTGAAATCAAACCCTAGACTATGAAATATAGCAAAACTTTCTTTATGTCCGTGAGCGTAAGGCGATTTAGTTTTGAATCGTTAATCGTTGAAAAAAAAGGGAAAAAAATTTTACGAGCTACCATAAAATCACATTATATTGATTTTCAACTTTTCATTATTATGCGAGGAGCACTATTTTTGTTGACAATACTTTTTTGGGGGCAAAGTTGACGAAATTCTTCCATAAAATTGAAAAATTTTTGCTTCCATTCAAATATTAATGATTAATGTCCAAAAAATTTATTTAAATATTAACCATTAAAATATATTAATTATTAAATTATTAACTAGCAATAATTCACGCGCTAAAGCACGCGGCTAACTTCTTACTATACATTTGTTAAATAAAATTAGCAATTTTAAAAATAATAGAATTTAAAAATTTTCTAATTTGAATTTTTGTTAAAAACACTAAAAAAATTAAATTTTGGAGAAATTACAAATAATTGCAGAAATTCAATTATTTAAATAAAAAAATAAAATTCTTCTTATAAAATTAAACTTTGTTCAAAATTTGAATAAAATTTTCGAAAATATCCCAATTACTTTTATAAATAACAAAATTCTTCTCCAAAGTTCAATTCCCGTGTAGAAATTTCGCTGGGGCCCTGATCAGGGCCGGATAGGGCCGACCTATTAGGGAATGAAACGCCGCGCCCGATGTGGCCCTGATCAGGAAATCCACATTTTCTTGTCGCCCCGATCTGGCCCTGATCGGGCGCGGCGTTTCATTCCTTACTATGGCCCTAGTAGGGCAATTTCTACACGGGTTATTTCCTAAATGTCAAAAAAATTCTTGTCCTAATATCAATTATTTTCAAAAATAAAATGCATTTTTCTAATTTCAATTATTTTCAATGTCTACTATTTTAATAAAATTACCCAAAAAGAATTCAATTATTTAAAAAAAAATTTAATAAAATTGTATACAAGCATTTAATTATTTTCATAAATAATAAACATTTTACAGGAATTTAATTACTTTTATAAATAATAAAATTTTTCAAAGGAATTTAATTATTTTTATAAAAAATAATTTAAAATTCTAGAAAATAATAATTGAATTGGAAAATGATGAAAATAATTTTAATGAAGTTACAGTAACAATATTCTTATAATATAAAATATAGATTTTATCTCTCGGTCATCTTTAAATAATTCCATTATTTTCCAAAGTACTATTAAAATTCTTCGCAAAAATTCAATTATGTTCAAAAAAATTTTTAAATTCTTGTCAAAGTTCCAATTATCTTTATAAATAATAAAATTCTTCTCCTTAATTCAATTATTTTCAAAAATTTTCTTCATTCAATGATTTTCAATATCTACTATTTTTAATGAAACTTTCCAAAAAAATTCTACTATTTAAAAAAAATTTTGATAACATTCTTCTCTCAAAAATTCAATTACTTTCAAAAATAATAAAAATTTCGAAAGAATTCAATTATTTACAAATTTTTCATAAATGTCTTAGCAATAAGACATAATAATTCAATTCTTTTCCAAAGTAATAAAATTCTTCACCGAAAATCAATTATTTACAAATATTTTATAAATTTGTTCGCAATAATTCAATTATTTTCCAAAGTAATAAAATTCTTCACAGAAATTCAATTATTTACAAATATTTTATAAATTTGTTCGCAATAATTCAATTATTTTCCAAAGTATTATAATTCTTTACAGAAATTCAATTATGTTCAAAAAAATTTTTTAATTCTTGTCAAAGTTCCAATTATCTTTATAAATAATAAAATTCTTCACCCTAATTCAATTATTTCCAAAAATTTTCTTCAATTCAATGATTTTCAATATCTACTATTTCAATGTAACTTTCTAATAGATGTCAATTTTTTAAAAAAATTTCTAATAAAATTGTATTCAAGGACTTTAATTATTTTCATAAATAATAAAAAAAAATTCTGATAATTTTTATTTGTCAGTACAATTTTGAATTTATTAGAAAATAAAAATAATTATAACATTAATTAATTAATTTTAATAATAATAAACTACATGTTCCGCTAATCTGTTCGCAGTTTGAAATTAGTTGTTGTTTGCTTTTTTGTTTCTTAACTTTTTTATAATTTTTCTATTCAAATATTTTTAATTTTAAAATTAATGTATTGAAAATCATCGAATTATTGCAAAGAATTTTATCAAAAAATTTTGATAGTAATAGAATTCCTTCAAAGAATCTTATTGTTTAGAAAAATAACTGAATTCTCGCAAAGAATTTTATTAAAATTTTTAAAAATCGGAATGTTTTGAAGAATTTATTAAAATTTTAAGACATAATTGAAATTTATGGAAATATTTTAAAATATTTGAATTCATTCGAGGAATTCAAATAAAATTGTTTTAAAAATCATTGAATTTTTGTAAAGATTTCTCTATTTAGAAAAATAATTGAATTCTTTAGAAGGATTTTACTATTTATAAAAATAAATGAAATATTTGAAAATAATAAAATTTTTTCGAAAAATTCAATTAGTTTTTTCGAAAATAATGGAATTTCTTTAAAGAATTTTATTAAAATTAAATATATTCAAAATAATTTAATTTATCACAAGAATTTTATTATTTTTTGAAAATAATTGAATTCTTTCAATTTTTTTTTTTTTTTTGACGAAAATATTTAAAAATTGCATTGAAAGTAATTTAATTTTTATATGGAATTTTTTTTTTAATATTTTGAGAATAATTGAATTATTTTTAGAGAATTTTAAATTCTTCTTGAAAATGCATTTTATGGAAATTTTTGAAAATAATTAAATTCTTTCATGTAATTTTATGTCAATTTAATTAAAAATAATTTAATTCCTGCAAAGAATTTTTGTATTTATAAAAATAGTTGAATTGTTTCGAAGAATTTATTAAAATTTTAGGAAATAATTGAAATTAATGGAAATATTTAAAAATATTTGAAATCATTCGAGGAATTCAATTAAAATTGTTTTGAAAATCATTGAATTTTTGTAAAGATTTGACTATTTAAAAAAAATAATTGAATTGTTTAAAAGGATTTATTAAAATTTTAGAAAATAATTGAATTCTTTCGTGAAATTTAAAAAAAATTTTGAAAATATGAACAGTAATAATTAATTTTGTACTTAATGAGTAAATTTTAAAAATTTTGATTATAAAATTATTTAAAAAATTCATATTTGAAAATAAAAAATTTTGTAATTTGCATAACAATAATAAATTGAATATCACGTTTCGCGCGTAACATTTGCTAGTAATAAAATAATATACAATCTATTTAAAAATAAGAAAAAACAAAGGACAACTTCAGAGTGTGAGGGACAGGAAAAGTGAATGAATGAAAGAACATTCAAATTATTATAGTTAATAATTATTATTAAAAAATAGAATTTGTAATAACTCACCATTTAGATAGAAGTAACTGACATTATTGTAGAGATTGGTGACAATTGGTTTGACATTATCGAAGGTCATTGTCTTGAGTTGATTATCCCTGAGATCAAGAAAGTTGACGCCTGGTGCTTGACTGAGAAAGTCTGGATCAAGTGATGCGAGTTTATTTTCACTAAGTTTTAGTACCTTCAAGTTTCTCATTCCAGCCAATGCTTTCTGCGAAATATATACAATCATATTTTGATCGAGATGAAGCTCCTGTAATTCTGACATTTCCATAAAGCTCTCCTCGCCAATCATATGCACTAAATTATTACTCAGATCGAGCTTCTGTAAATTTCTCAAGCCATTAAACATATCGCGAGTTATTACATTAATTTGATTGCCATTAATTTCAAGCTCTTGAAGTGAACTCAAATAGGCGAATGCTTGAGCATAAATTGTTGTTATGTTATTTTTATTTATTATCAATTTCTTCAGCATTGGCAAATTCACGAATGGTGTTCTGAAAAAAATAAAACAAATATCTAAATTAATAAATTAATAAAATTTTTTATTAATTTGAAAAATGTTCTTTCTAGATAAAGTAGAAAAAAATAGACGACTTTAGTTGACGAATTTCGTACGTACAAGTATTTTATCATTTGAAATCGCATTAATTCTTGCAAGGAAAAGATATTCCGAAGAAAAAAAGTAGAAACACTGGTTTTTATTCGTTATATTCATGTATAATATGAAGTAATTTATAATTCTAATATTTAAAACTATAAAGAAGCAAAAAGGAAGAAGACTACAAAACCACTTCCTTAATTTACATCCTCCTTCTTTATGGCATAAAGAATGTTATACGGAAGGGAATGAAGAAAGAAGGTTTATTCGAGTGAAAAATACATTTCCTCGTAAGAATTTATACATCTTGAAAAATATAAATAAAATTTAAAAAAAAAAGAAATAAATCCTATCCCTACTATTAGGCCTTTCTATTTTTTCTAAAAATAATTACGATACAAAAATTTTCAAAAAACATACTAATTAATAATCAGAAAGAAAAACTCACCTCGTAATTTCAGTAATATGATTCTCGTCCAAATTGATAAACATCAAATTCTTCATATTATTAAAAGCATTTTCAGAAAGACCAGTGATGGAATTTCTCATGAGATGAATTTCCGTCATTGATGATAAATTAGAGAAAACATTGGCGGGGAGTTTGTGAATTTTTGCGTACTCAATATTTAAAATATTAACATGTTTAAGTTGCTTCAGTACTTGTGTTGGTACGTATGTTAAATTTCCAGTAGGCGGTCTAACTTTAAATGATAATTTTTGTGTAAACATTTGCGACTTAAAATGATTCCACAGTGGATTGACTTCTTCGAATTTTTCGAATATCAAACAATTCGTATCGGTTGCATTATTAAAACCATTACTATTACAATAACAAAAGAATGGCGCTTGGAGATCCTGTAAATCACAAATATTCACTTCTTTATTCTCCCTTGGCTCTTTCATGAGTTTCTTTTTGCTTTTTAATTTTGTCGTCGCTCCCTCACTCGTTGGTATTGCTAAAATTAGCAAACAGAGTTCAAGGACAATAGCTATCCGTACGACGTCCCGCATGATTCTTCTGAAACACAAAAATCAAAAATTCTTTGTTAAAATAATTTTTACTTTGTTATTTTTAGATGGGTGGGATAAAAATTTTTTTTTAGTCGTAACACTATTAATATTGTTTCGTCGTCTACAAAATGAAATTGAGTATTTGTTGAATTATGTTTCTTTAATACTAATATTTATCTTGACGAAATCTAATTTTATAAATAATATAGTTTAATAATAACGGAAGACAAAATTTTGATTTTTCTCCCTGACCCTAAAGAATATTATTTTGATTCGCTCTAAAAATTATCAGATACTCAAAAAAACTGTTCTGTTACATTTATTCACGAATTTGTTTCATTGTAAAATTATTCGAAAACATCAATAAATAGGAATAAGGATTTTCAAAAAAATTTCAAATTCAAACTTTTGTGTAATTCAACAACTTATAAGAATTTATTATTATAAAACATAAAGACATCGATTAGTTCGAGTCTTCGATTCTAAGCGATTGATATATCATAATTAAATTATTTACAGAAATTTTAATAAAATCCTTCGCAAGAATTCAATAATTTTTACAAGTAATACAATTTTTCACATGAATTCAATTATTAAAAAAAAAGTGTAATAACATTCTTTGTAAGAATAAAATTAAATTATTTTCAAAAATAATAAAATTTTTCATAGAATTTCAATTATTTTTTACACAATTTTAAATAAATTCTTCAAAAAATGTAATTATTTTCCAAAAATCGTTTACAAGAATTCACATTTCACAAATAATTATTCTTAAGCAAATCAATTATTTTCAAAAAAGTAATAAAATTCGTTGCAAGATTTCAATTATGTTCATAAATAATGAAATTCTTTACAGGATTTCAATTATTTAAAAAAATTTAATAAAATACGTTGCGAGAATTCAATTATTTTCATAAATAATATTCTTCATAGGTTTTCAATTATAATTAAAAAAAATGTAATAAAAAATCGTTGCAAGAATTCAATTATTCTCCTAAATAATAAAAATCTTCGAAAAGTCATTCAATTATCAATTATTTTTAATAACTTTTGCAAAAGTTCCTTGAGAATTTTCAAATCCATTTGATTGCATTTTAAGTTTACAAAATTTCGATTATTCTTCAATTAAATATTTAGAAGATAAAAGCTAAATAATTAAATAAAAATTCAATTAAACTTTTTCAAAAAAAAATAATTTCTACAGAATTGTCAGTTAAAAATATAAAAAATTCAAATTTTCAAAGATTTCGATTTGAAACTTTTTCAAAATTAAATTATATCTAAAAATTCATGCTGTAATGATTTTAATATTCAATTATTATCTAAATTTTTAACTAAAATTCATTCTTAAATAAATTTTTATTCAAAAAATTCTACAAGAATTATTCAATTATTTAAATACAAAAATTAATAATTAAGTAACTGAATATTTCTTAAAATTTAATTTCTAAAAAGAATTTTATTATTTATGAAAATAATTGAATCCCTTTAAAAAAATCTTGTTATTTATAGAAATAATCATTTTAACGTTCGTGTAGAATTTTTAAATAATTAAATTCTTTCGACGAATTTTCATAAAAAAAACCTATAATTTTTTCAATTTCTGACAAAAATTTCTTTTTAAATAACCTGAATCTTGAACAACTATCATAAAATAAATAAATTATTTAATGAATAATTTTACTGAAATATTTCAAAATTAATTCAATTTTAAAAGAGTTGCGTTTACAATTTTTATAAATAAATAAACTTCAAACGGTTTCAATTTGAAATTTTATAAAATTTCTATTTTAAGTGAATTTAATTAAAAATTTTAATGAACTTCGATTTTTGAAAAATTTTTAAACAAAAAATCTTCTAAAATCAGTTAAATTTGTCAATATGTATTTAATTAATTACTAAAAATAATGGATTTATAGAAGAATTTTAGTTAAAAAAAAATTGAATTTTGAAGAAGTTACAAATAATTGCAGAAATTCAATTATTTACAAAAGTAATAAAATACTTATCACAAAATTCAATTATGTTCAAAATTTACAGAAAAATCTCAACAAAATCAAAATTCTTATCATTTTAAATAAAAAAATTCTTCAAAATTTAATTATTTTCAAAAATTTTAATAAAATTCTTGGCAAAATTTCAATTATTTTCAAAAATTCATAAATAATAAAAATTTTACAGGAATTCAAATATTTACAAATTTTTTATTATGTTTCTTCTCAATAATTCAATTATTTTCAGAAATAATAAAACTCATTGCAGAATTTCAATTATTTTAAATACAATTTTAATCGAATTCCATGAAAACTGTAAGTATTCTGTAAAATTTTATTAAAATTCGTTAAAAGAATTCAATTATTTAAAAATTTGTTAATAAAATTTTTAATAAGAATTAAATTTTAAGAAACATTAATTTATTATTCAATAAATAATTTACTTTTGCATTCAAATAATTATGAATTCTTGTAGAATTTTCTAATAAAAATTGATTTGAAAATGAATTTTAGTTTAAATTTTAGATAATAATAGAATATGAAAATAATTTTTAAGAAGTTACATTAACAATATTCTTTATAATATAAAATAATGATTTTAACACTCGATCCTCTTTAATTATTTTAAAACATAAAGAAATCGATCACTCCGAGTCTTCGACTCGAAGCAATCAATATCTTCATGTTTTATAACAAATACTTGTATAAGTTGTATAATTTAAAAAAGGTTTGAATTTGAAATTTTGGAAAATCTTAATTCCTATGGAAAAATAATAATAATGAAATATTTAAAATATTTAAAAAATAAATTATTGTTTTCGAATAATTTTACAATTAAAGATATTTGTTAATAAATTTAACAGAACATTTTTTTTCCCTTTATTTTTTAAGAAACTTTGAATTTTATAAAAACAATTAAAATTAAGAAATATAGAATAATTGATGCAAATTATTTTCTTATGAAAATTGATAATTTTTTACAAAAATATTGAGAAACGGGAATATTTAATGTTTTTCTTTCCAAATGAAAAAAATGTGATTGTTAACAATATTGTTATTGAGAAATAAAAATTATGCATAAAATGGGCATTTATTTCCTATTTCTTAATCATAATTTTTTAACAATTAACAATTTTCTATTTTGCTATTTATTTATAAATAAAAAGGAAAAAAAATTGTATAATTTAGATCAGTCAAACGAAATTTGTTATAAAAAAAAATCATTTAACAAGCAAAATAGCTATATATTTTATTTGTTAATAATAATTTTTTTTAATTTTCTAATTTGTAATTCTATTTTATTATAAACAGATGAAAAAATACCTATATGCATATTTTCGATTTTTTAAACAATATTTTTTAATCGAAAAAAAGCATACACAGAAACTAACTTCAAACTTCGGACAGAATGAATGAAAGAATACGGAGATTCACATAGTTAATATTAATAATAATTATTTTCTTTCATTTTGAATTCATTATCATTTAAATATGCCTGAAATACAGTATTTTGACCGAGAATGAGAGGAAACGTCAGAAATATGTTTCCAGTCAATTAATAATTTGATTGACAACAAAAGCAAAGGAGAAGAAATTTTACGAGGGGGAGACTCGAGTAAAGTCGCGGTGTCGGATAAATTCAATGTCGAGGCTTCTTCCTGTCTAGTCAACTTCTCTCTGTACAAGTCCTCAGGTTGACTGCGTTGGTGGGCGCATGCTTCATTGGTCTAGAAAAAGCGTTATTGCAGAGAAAACGTTGTCTCATCGAGCTCGGAGAAATGGCTTTACACAGAGGAGAGAAAAAGAGAGAGAGTGAATATAGTAGAAAGAAAGAAAAGTATGCGCGCAAAAAAAAAAAAGAAAAAAAGAAAAACCGAGGAGAAAAAAAAAGGAGAATAAACAAGCGTTGGCAAAGAAGAAATAGGAAGATGGGAAGGAGGGATGAGGAGGTGACGCGAACTCTTTTTCTGTGACAAAAAAACGAAGACGAGAACCGTTCGCGAACCGAAAAGGGACACCGCGACGACACAACGTACCTTTGCAAGAGGAAGGTGACCCTTTGAAAAATTATCCTCCCAAGTGGAAAGTTGCATAATGCCTCCTGTGTGTCGTGTCTACTTCTATTTTTGAATGAACTTTCCGCACCTTCACTTGCCTTCTCTCTAGAATATCTGCATATATACCAAGAGAGAGAGAGGGAGAGAGAGCACGCTTATATGTATAGTGCATCTTCCCTCCTAATGTACACATACACACATAACATGGACCACACACAAAGAGCTTTGTTCTACCGAAAAAGAGATTTCATATTCGCAAAAGGCGACATGAAATATAAATATAAATTGCTTTTTGAACAAGAAAAAGGCGGGACAGATTTCGTGCGTGGAAAATTTTCTGATTAGTTCATTTGTTTTTTAAAAGTATGAGGGTTAGATATTTAATGAACCCAAAATGACGTTCATTTTCATTAGACAATTTTTGATAATGAAGGTACAATTAGTTAGATTCACGGTTCGCTATATCCTGCGGAATGTCACATCCTGAACATACTTTTTCGGGACAATGAAAAATTATCATCACTTGCAAAAATAATTTCATTTCCTTAAAATTCACCAAAAAATCTGTGCCATGTGTTTGATTCAATATTAACATCAACAATGGTTGTTTTGTGATTCACTCACAATCATACTCTAAACTAAAATGGTCAGAATTGATGGTCCATGGGAACTGAGATTTTCAAAATTTCTAATTCAAACCTTTTTGAAATTTAACAACTTACACTGAAAAAAAAAATTTGACAGAATGTGCTTTTTACACAGGCAACTTTTGCCTAAGAACAAAAGCAATACACGTAAAACAATTGTTTCTTTAAAAAGAAAGCAATTTTTGCTTTTTTTAAAGGCAAAAATTTTAACTAAGGCAATTTTTAGCTTTTTTAAAGGCAAAAATTGCTTTTTTTTAAAGAAACAATTTCTTTATGTGTATTGCTTTTGTTCTTAGGCAAAAATTGCCT